CTATCTGTTTATACATCCCACCCTGCAGTGCTTAACGCTCCTCTCCACCACACCCACCGATTCCAGCCCCCGATCGATCGGTCCCCACCCCAGCAGCCTGCCCGCAGGCAGGCGCCGGCCGGCCGAGCCCTAACCTCTCAGAAACGTGCTTGCCGAAACCTCTTCCAGAACCGCAGGTCAGCTCGGGACCGTTCCTCCGTCCTCAGCTTTACAGTTCATCGTGTTCCTCTCTGGCCTCCTGGTCTTTCAGCTTGAACTCTTCAGCCGTAACTTTCCCGTTCCCGTCCCGGTCCTGATTGGTGAACATGTTTTTAACGATCTTTTCAAAATCAAAACCGGGAGCCAGTTTTCCTTTGCCGGAATCGACTTGAGCTTGAATGTACTCCGAAAACTAGGTGGAGGGAAAGAAGGAGAAAGCAGCTCACAGTGAAACAGGCATTCAAAACCCAGGAGTATTTACAAAAGTGGCGTTTATTTGTTGGTGACTATTTAGCACTGTACTGCTAATTATTAAGGGTACGTGACAGTACGATGTCACTAGCCTATACAGCTTGCAACCCAAACTGGACTAATGAGGACAGACACAGGAGGTTAAATTGCTCTTGCTGAAGCTCAACAGGGGTTTCCTCACTCAGTCCAGTAGCAAGAAAAGTTGTTTTGTAACTTCGGGGGAAGAGGAGCGGGAACAGACCTATACGGAGAGGGGAGGTTTTATTTCGCACGCCAAAGCTCACAGGGTAGACCAGACATCCACCTGCACCATAGGAGAAACAGCACACGAGAGAGCAGAATGAAGCGCAGAAAAGAGACTTCGCACACCAGGATACCGTGAGGTTTGTTGAAGTAGCACCAGGCATTATGCCTTCCACCTGACTTGATGGTGGGGAAGGTTGCAAGGCTCCAAGGTTAGTGTTCCCTAAAAATCCCCTTCCTCACACACAGGAGGATGAAGTTGCTCGAGGTGATTATACAACCACTGGCAGAAGTTGTACCCCTGGCCTGCTGAAACCAGAAAGCCCACGGTCAAACACAACCCTTCGGCTTGCTGTTACCTCTGGTGCTACCTGTCAGACAGGCTCCAGCAGTGAGAGCCCTTGCCGTTCGCACCTTTCAGGCCAAGCATCCTCTCATCATTCCTTGGCTTCTCCTTCTCCTCCTTGCTAGGGGACCAGAAGGGTGTGGGTACAGTCACACCCCACCCCGCTCATTCTCTAGACTGACAAAAGCTCTTTTCTTCTCTGCAAGGAGAGAAGTGGAGGTAAACACGAGGTAAGATGGAGAAAGCAGGAAAACAAAGAGGTGGAAGAGAGCGTCAGGAAGAGGGAAAACAAGATTCTGATTTACCCCGCTGATTTGTCAGAATGCTGGAAGGCAGCTCATGCTGTTCTGTGGGTCCGCAGCCTGCGCCCCGAGAGCTGCAGGCAGCACGACTCCAGCGGGCAAGACGGACAGAAAACAGAAGAGAAAAGGTGACCAAGACGACGGAAGAAGAGAATAAAGCAGCAGAACTCCGCCAAGAGAAAACGCAGAAGAAAGCCCCGCAGAGGGTTGCATTATCAGAGGCGGTGCAGCAGAGGCAAGCGGATTGCTGTTAGGGCACCCAGCGACACTCTCACGCTGTGGGTTTTCCAAACGGGCGAGGGCAAGGAGACTTGTTCACACAGTTCACCCACGGAAAGAGCGGCCACGGGCACTGCAAGGCGCCAGAAGTGATCAGACAGTTCCCGGCAGCACTGCTGCAGGCTCAGCTTTGGCTCAGGAATTCACCATCAACCTCCCAGTAACAGATGCTGTGAAGGCCGACTCCTGAACACCAACTCTGCCTCTCACACCCGTGCCCTAAGCCATCCGCTGTGGGGCACAGCAGGCGGCCACGAGAATAGGTGGCCTTCAGCAGCACGGCCATTCTTCTGTTTCGTCCCGGTTCTGCCTCTGAAGTGAAATAACTGACCAGCTGCCTGTCTGGTAATTTGACAGCACCGCGGGAGAAGAGGAGGAGGAGAGACCCCATTCCTCGGCGCCTTGAGTTGATGATGGCGGGAGAAAACATCTCTGTGACAGTGCTAGGAGAAAACCACTGTGTTATGTTCTCATTGCCTCAGCTTACCTCCTCCAAAAGAACCTCTCCATCGTGATTCTGGTCTATTTCTTCAAAGAGGTTGGGAGAAACTTCCCCATTCCACACGAACATGTACCCTTCAGGCAAGCCAGACACCAGTTCCAGCAGTTCGATGTTGAAAACTAATACAGCACTACCAGGCACTTCTCCTTCTGTCACGAGAAATGGCAAAGTGGGGTAATTATCCTCACTCACACTGAAGAGTGTATTTCCTTTTAATCCATAATCAAATTTCTCTTCCTGCTCCAACAGGTTCTCCACTGTGATCCCCAAGCACAGTGAGCCCAAGCCCACCGCATCTTCCTGGTCACTTCATCAGAGGTGATCAAAACATAAAGGAAGCTTTCATAATAAAACTGCATCCATTTTTTTACTTGTAAAGGTAAAACTGTGGAAATTAATCAATTTCCCTTTATCTCTCTATATTATCCTGTATTCACCATGTATCAAGGTGCTACTGACAGACTCAGCAGCATTGCAATGGCTTGGGATGTTACCCCAGTGAAACCACAGAAGGAGTTTCATTTATTCCTGAAAACAAAACCTGAGGTCACCTCTAACTTCTGCCCAGCAGCAAAGGGCCAATCTCTTCAGCTACCTGGGGGCGCACCAGAACACCGACAACTCAGGCGACGTTTCGCACCCAGCCTATTCAAAGCAATTCCAGTGACGGCAAATGCCTACGACAGGTAGGTCGATCGTGTTTTTAACACAGCGGACTTGATGTTAGGAGGAAAATTCCAAATTATTATATATAACTACACCATCCTACAGGACAGTATAAAATGCTGCACATACTATATTCATAATTTTTCATGGAAGATGGGTGCAGGTGAAAATGCTTCTTTATCTCTTACACAAACTGATTTTCCATTAAGCTTGGCATGTGATGCCTGACCCACAAGTTTTTATAAAATACAAACTGTTCTGGAGCTATTCAAACAATCGTAGAATCATGGAATGGTTTGGGTTGGAAGGGCCCTTAAAGCCCATCCAGTTCCAACCCCCCTGCCATGGGCAGGGACACCTTCCACTAGACCAGGTTGCTCCAAGCCTCATCCAGCCTGGCCTTGAAGACATCCAGGGATGGGGCATCCACAGCTTCTCTGGGCAACCTGTGCCAGTGCCTCACCACCCTCTCCAGGAAGAATTTCTTCCTGATATCCAATCTAAACCTCCCCACTTTCAATTTAAACCCGTTACCCCCTGTCCTGTCAAACACAGCAGCTTACGCAACTGTTTTCATACACCTAAGAGTTTGTTCATCTTGGTGATCTCCCGACAGACTCCTTTCCCTCAAGGCTTTTAACTCGGAGGACCAGCAACAACCCCACATACTAGAATGAGAGTTCTCGTCACCCCTGTATTGTTCTTTTTATTATTGTTGTCCCAGACATTAAAAACGTACAAGCCTCGATGCTCTGGAGCAGAGCAAAGTGCCATCAATGTATTGGTGTCGGGGTTTCAGCAGCACTGTTTCACCTCTTACATTCATCATGTAGTTTCTGAATTCTGAGTTTTCTCTGAGTTTCTAACACACCTGTGCTGAACAGTCCCCTTCAAACATGTCACGTTCCCACGCGCAAGTACCCGCTTCCCTACCACAAAGAACAGTGTCCGCATCCACCTGCAACACCTGAGTGCCTGGAGTTTTCCATCAGGACAAAGCAGCACTCGTGTTCCCTTTTGTACTGGGATGGTTTTTCCACTGCCCACAGTAACAGGATGACTGAAACCGCAACACGGACTGCATGTTCATTTCACTGGGGAATTGGGGCTTGTCTAAAGTAACAGAATGAAGAAACTCCTAGAAATTCCCCTTCAAGCAGGTAAGAGACACCCCCCTCGTGTCCTCATGCACAGCAAGTAACAAAACAGCAGGCTTGTGGTTCAGTTCCTGGAGAGAAGCTGAGTGCCCACGCGAGGGGTTTCGCTCACTTACCAACTCCATCTTCTCCATAACCGAGATGAGGAGGAATAACAACGGTCCGTCGTTCCCCGACACACATGTCTTGAAGGCCCATGTCCATCCCCACCACCACCTGCCCGGACCCCAGAACTATGTTGTAGGTCTTGCCAAGGCTGTGTCTGGAGCAGGGAGGAGGAAAACAAAGAACACCTTCAACATGCAATAGGGAATTTCTGCAGTTCAAAACCACCACAGGAACAGCAGGTGCTGGCTGGTGTCCCGCCACGGCCAGAAATTACCCTCATGCCCACTGCTCTGTTCTACCGAGCAGTCATCCCGAGTTGTTCTCAAGATAGCAAGTTACAGCCTACACCAAATTTGTCCCTACTGTTGACAAGTCCTCTGGTACTAAAACTGTAGGTTTCTTGAACGAAATCCAATTAAAACAATTAATTCTGCCAATTAAACCCCCAAAGTGTTTTGTCTCGAAATAAGGGCTTTTGCCTTTCATGTATTTTAAACTAATGGAGTTGGACTTTTTTAGCAGATGTACAAATTCCAGAAGTATGGCTGTCTCAGAACTACCAACCTATATGGATCTGGGAGCATTCACAGGGATCAGCCATCCCTTTCATGAGGTCACTGTAACGTAGCAGTCGCTTAAACAAGACAGCTTGGACGTATACTACTACGGAAAGCAGTATTTACTCGTATTGTATTCTGAATCACACCTTGCAGCTAGTGGCTCGTTTCTAAAACCAGATGACGAGTTCCGATCCCTGAAGTTAAACATCTCAGTGTTAGGACTAGTGCTAGGCAGTGCTAGGACTTTTTACTGGGCGTGTCACGACAGCAGGACCCTCCCTTCTGTTGATCTCCTTTCTTTGGTTATTCGGCTTGGCGGTACCCCGGCAGGACGTGCTTGCACAGCAGAGGATTGTTTGGAAAGAGCACAGTGCGGTGGCTAGGAGGTCAGCCTTCCAATTAGGAGCACGAGATTCATCATCCTTGATTCTCTGTAAAGTGCTTTGAATGAGACAGTCTCCACGTCCCTTGGGTCCTGCTACAAGATGGGAATTGGGCATTC